TAGCCAAAAACAAAACAGAACAAAACCAGCAAGATGGGTTAGGCTAGAAGACCTAGAAAGTCCCTTCTATCCAAATTCATGACCCTAAGGCGTCCTTCAAATCAACCAGTTCCACGTTGGGGCAAGAATACAAGACTTCAGGTTAGGTAACTTAGGTCCCAATAGTCACTCTACCCAAACTCTAAGACCTGGAGCAAGTCAGGCAACAAACAAGCAAACTTTTTATTCTGTTCTTACTAGGCACTGCACTGAAGACATGAAGAAAGGCAGAAGCAGGGTGCCTGCCCTAAGGAACTCCCATGACTTAACCTCAAAGGACTTGAAATTCTTGTTGCTCAGTCATTCCAGTCGCATCTGACTCTTCTCAACCCCGTTTGGGGTTTTCTTGGCAAAGATACAAGAGTGGTTAGTCATTTCCTTCTCCAGCCCATTTAACAGATGAGGAAGGTGAGGCAAACAGGGTGAAGTGACCTGTCCAGGGTCACGCAGCTAGTTAAGTGTCTGAGGCTGGATTTGAACTCAGGTCTTCCTGCCTCCAGTCCGAGTGCTCTATCCACTGAGCCTCCCAGCTGTCATGTGGCCTCAAGTCCCTTCTCCATAAAATGGGGGTGATGGGCCATCCAAAGTCAGGTCTAGCTCTGGATCCCCTGTTTCTAGCACAAGAGTCCCTTACACACCGTCTGGTACCTGGAGGTATGCAGAACCTTAAGAGGCTGACGGGTTCCAACCCTTCCGTTTACACATAAGGAAACAGGTTCCATCACTTGCCTGTCACCCTGGTGGCAACAGAGCCAGGATCTGGACCAAAGCCTCTCACTGGGTTCCAGGGCTCCTGTGCCTGCCTGAGCCCCCAGTTCCAGGAGCAGGTCATGGCAACAGCCCCAGCTCTGCTGTTCACCAGAACTCTCCCACCATTATCTTTCAGTCCCCTCTGTCTAGGAGGTAAGTCCTTGGCTCCTGCCCCTGGAAATGGGGCTGGGGGTAGGCAGGAGCAGGAGGGCTTGGAAGTGTCTGCTGTGGGGGAAGGGACCTCCCCAGCCCTCATCCCCCTTCCGGTAACTCGAACCTGGCATTGTGTCCCAGGCTGAACAGCTGACAATTCTGTGGCCAGACAGCTGGGCAGAGAGTTGCGTGTGTGTATGTGAGTGTGAGAGCAGAGGAGGGAGGTGCCTGGGATGGGTGGGAGGGGGTGTTGGGGGGGGAGCCAGCAGGAAGAGGCGACAGCTCTGCAGAAGCCAGAGCTGCCCCCGGAGTCGGGAAGCTGCCTCCTATTCCCCACCCCAGTCCCCGCTCACCATGCCCTGGCTGGGGAGGCTGAAGCTACTGCTGCTGCTGACCGGCTGCCTGGGTACCAAAGCTGGAGAAAAGGGAGGGAGGGTGGCACAGGGGTACAAGGGGTGGAGCTGGAGAGCAGGTAGTGGGTATGGAGGGACCACTCCCCAGGATTCCCCTCCTAGTGTTAGCCCCCTCTGCTCATCCCACCCTGTCTACCTTGCCTCCCTTCTTCCTCCTCCTCCCCTCCCTCCCCTCTCCCTCTTCCGTTTCTACCCTCTCCCCTCCTGGCTCAAGACCCTTGGTTACAGGAGTCCAAAGCCTGAACCAGGAAGAGAAGTTGCTGAATGACTTGATGAGGAATTATAACCCAAACTTGCGGCCAGCTGAGATGGACTCGGACATCATCAATGTCAGTCTAAAGCTCACCCTCACCAACCTCATCTCCCTGGTGAGCTGGAACCCTGGGAAGGGGAGGGACCATCCACATGCCCACCATGGCCAGGGAAGGCATGGGTTAACTGGACCAGAGTCCGTTTGGGGATCGTTCAAAGGAATCCTGCTGGGGAGATTGTGGGAAGGGGCAGAGGAAGAGAAAGGGGCCCTTTAACTGGCCTCCCCACTGGAGATTGGAGCTGGAAGTGAAAGGTGGGGTGCTGAGGCCTCCTTTTATGCCCCCAGAACGAACGGGAGGAGGCACTCACCACCAATGTCTGGATAGAGATGGTAAGAACCCCTTGCCTACCCCTCTTCAGGGGCCCTGGTTCCCAAGGTCTCATTAGGACTTCCAAGACCTCTCCTCCACCCCGTTCCCAGTGTTGGTTCGAGGTCCCTTGTTCTGGGAGAGCTGAGGGTAATGTCAGGGCCCTGGGCCACAGGAGCTGGAGGTAGGGGGTGGGGGTGGGGAGAGGTGGTGTGACCCGGCCGCTAAGTAACCTGTTCCCCGCTCCCTGTCCCTTCCTTACTGTAGCAATGGTGTGATTACCGCCTGCGCTGGGACCCCGGAGATTATGAGGACGTGTGGGTGCTCAGAATCCCCTCCACCATGGTGTGGCGGCCAGATGTAGTTCTGGAGAACAAGTAAGTTGGTGGAAGGGGCCACTGAGTGGGTGGGGGCAGAGGCCCAAGAGGAACGGAGGAAGAGGGGGCCTGAGGTTCGAGGAACAAGGGAAACCATCCATTGATTCACTGGCATTCATTAAATGCCTGCTCGGAGCTCCTTGAGATAGACTCGGAAGTCTTTGCCCTCAAGCACCTGTGATTCTCTGCTTTGGGGATTCCGAGACGATTTGAAGGGAGCTGGGAGTGGGGGAGAGAGGAAAAGGATGATGGAGAAGGCGGAGGGGTTAAAAGTTGCTAGAGACTAAGACGAGATGAATAGCGGGCGGGCAGTTAGTTCTCGGGGAATTGGGGGAATTGTACTTTCCCTACCTGCTACAATTCAATCCGATTCAATCTCACGCTTATTAAGTACCAGCTCTGTGGGAGGAGAACAAAAAGGAAAGACCCTGCCTTCTAGGAGATGGCTGTTTCCTGGAAGTGTAGGAGGGTGGCTAGGATATGTACCCAGTAACCTGCGGTTTGAGATGGGCTTTGAGAGGGACAGAGGAGAGAGACAGCCATAGGGCTGTCTAGGAAAGCATGAGAGGGTTCTGGAGAGGAGGTGACCCCTGAGCTGAAGGGGTGGTGTCTGAATTTAGGGGAGCCAAGGATTGGGTCATCCTGCTGCAGGGCAAGAGGAGGGCAGGTCTGAGGGGAAGTCTGGGCCAGGTGGTGCTTAGAGAACCCTCTAGGATGAGGATTCCGAAGGCAAGGGCCAGCTGGGCAGCGCCTGGTCCTACATGGCCCCTGTGCATCTAACAGTGTGGACGGCGTGTTTGAAGTGGCCCTGTACTGTAACGTCCTCGTATCCCCCAACGGCTGCATCTACTGGCTACCGCCCGCCATCTTCCGCTCATCCTGCCCGGTCACCGTCACCTACTTCCCCTTCGACTGGCAGAACTGCTCCCTGGTTTTCCAGTGAGAGGGATGGGGCTGGAACTGGAAAGCGAAAGGGAAAGGGAAAGGGAAGCAGCTGGAAGGAAGGGGCTGGGAGAGGCAAGAATGCAGGATTGAGGTTCAGAAGACCTGGCTCTAGTCCAGGCCAAGCCACTCACTAGCTGGGTGATGCCGGGCAAACTTCCCGAGTACATCCCCTCACTTGGAAAATGGGGTGAGGGTAGGGTGGATTCAATGGCCTTTAAGGTCCCTTCCAGCTTTATTACTCAATGCAGCTGTGATTTCTATGGAAGGGGTGGTATGCTTGGGAGTAGTCCTTATTGGGGGAAAACAGAACCTTTCCATAAATACTCATGAATGGGTGCACGCTCCTTCAGAGCTCTCTTTTGCTCTGTCTCTCTCTCACTCTCTCTTCCCTCGCCTATCTCTCTCTCCCCACTCTCTCCTTTCTCTATCTGTATATATCTCTTCTTACTCCCTTCCCTTCCCTTTCTTTCTCTCTTCTATCTTTCTGTTTCTCTCTCCCTTTTCCTAATTCTTCCCTCCCCCCTCTCCCCCCTCCTCTCCTCTCTCCGGCCCCTCCCCACCTGGTCTTCTTTCCCTTTGCTCTCTCCCTTTCTCTAAAGGTCTCAGACCTATAGCTCAAATGAGATTGATTTGCAGTTGAGTAAGGAAGACGGCCAGACAGTCGAGTGGATTTTCATTGACCCTGAAGCCTTCACTGGTAACCCTATTTCTCCACAGTTATTGCCCTCTCATCCCAACCTGAACCCCCCACTGCCTCTAAGTTCACTCATGGGCACAAACGGTCCCTTCATTTTGCAGTCTGGGCTCCCCTCTTTGCTTCCATTTCCCTATGGTGTGGTGGGCACTGCACCAGGGCTGCAGCATGCTAGACAAGTATAGAAGGAAGCTGGATGGGGTCCACAGCAGAGCCTCTGGATCAAGGCAGGAGCCCTTCTGAGCTGAGCTCCACCATCCCTCTGCCACCTACAGAGAATGGGGAGTGGGCCATCAAGCACCGCCCTGCCAAGAGGCTCCTGGATCCACCAGCATCCCCAGGGGAAGCTGGGCACCAGAGGGTTGTCTTCTACCTGTTCATCCAGCGGAAGCCCCTTTTCTACATCATCAACATCATTGCTCCTTGTGTGCTCATCTCCTCACTAGCCATCCTCATCTACTTTCTACCTGCCAAAGGTGAGGCCCCCGGCTCCTGGCCCCTGGGCGAGCCACTGGCTGGCTTCTTGGCCTCATGAGGTCTAGATTGAGAAGATAATCTAGAGATTGTCCAGTCCAGTCCCCTCCATTTCCAAGGGCACCTGTCCTGTGGGTGTCTTCAACAGAACACAATGCAGGGAAAAGAGCACTGGATGGGTAGCTAGAGGACCTGCATTCAAATCCTGCTTCTGCTAGCATGTGTGATCCTGGAGAGGTCACTTCTCAGTTTTCTCATCTGTAAAATGAGGGTCTAAAGTCCTTTCCAGTTCTAAGTCGATGATGGAGAGCGTTTAGGCAGCAGAGAGCAGTGGCCAGAGAACTGGCCTCCAAACATTTATTAACCCCCCACTGTGTGCTAAGCCCTAGGGATACAAATACAGCATCCCGGCTTTTCTTTCTTTTTGTCTTTTTCACTGATAGCTTGAGTTATTTACATTTCCTCTTCCTTTTGGTATTTGCATTCCCACAGTTTAGCCCAAAGCCTGCCTGGCACATAATGAGCATTTATTAAAGGTTCTTTTCTTCATTCACCTTCATTTCCTAAGACATCTCTTTTGCACTGCCTGCCCCCACCTCCAGCCATTCCTTATAACATAGAACAAAAAAGGGAAAGGAAAAAAAGTCAGTCCAACAAAATGAACTAACGTGTCATCAGTCCGGTCTGACAATAGTCCGCACCCATAGTTCCCCACATCTGCAATGGAGGGAGGGAGGTGCATACTCATATCTCTTCTTTGGGGCCAAATTTGGGGATACACGGATTTTACTCCATGGATACTTAGTAGGCGCAGGCAGACTGAGGTTTGGAGAGGCGAACTTGCTTCAATTTCCCTATTTGCACAAGGGGGATAGCAGTGCACTAATTTTTGTAAAGTACTTCACCAACTTTGGAGTTTAGTAGCTTGTGTCTTATGAGAAAGGGGTGCCCCTCTCCCACCCCAGATAGATCTGGGGACTTGCATACACGCAGTAAATAAGAGAAACCAGTCAACCCAAGTTAACCCAAACCCATCCTCTGTTCAGTCTCAACTATTCCATACTGCTGAGGTACTCTGGTAAGGGCCAAGGGAAGCCTCCTGAGGGCAAGAACCCACCCAGGACACCCCAGCTAGCATCAGTATTTCTCAGGCTTCAGAAGTAAGAGCCACGTGATGATGGCTCTTTACGGTGAGACAAGAGAGGGCTGAAACCAGGACAACAGAAAGGGCCGTGCTCCAAGGCACTGTGGCTCAGAGACTGTACAGACTTCAACAAACGGATTCCAAAGACAGCAGAATTTAAAACTTTGTCACATCACAGTGAGGCTACTTCTGGGGAAATCGGTGCCCTGGAGGTAGAGGTTAGAAAGGTATGGGTTTGAGGAGAAGCTTTTGGGGGCACAGCTGGGAGGCTCCTGGCCCAGCTGCTCTGACTTGGATCTTCTCTGGGTGGTCCAGCTGGGGGTCAGAAGTGCACTGTCTCCATCAATGTCCTGCTTGCCCAGACCGTCTTCCTCTTCCTGGTGGCCAAGAAGGTACCCGAGACCTCTCAGGCTGTGCCCCTTATTAGCAAGTAAGGCTCCTTTTCCTCTTCACTCCCTCCTGCTCTATCTCCTCATGCATGAGACTCTCCCACTCCTTCTGGGATATCCCCAAGATTCCCCCCTGTTCCCCAGGAGCTCTGGGCAGGATTTCTGAGCTGGCACCATCCTGTCTCACTTTGTAAGGGAGAGAGCTGGGATTCTGTCCTCCCAGGAAGAGAGCCGAGGACCAGTCCTGACTCCCGCTTCCTCTCCTCCATAGGTACTTGACTTTCTTGCTGGCGGTGACCATCCTAATCGTGGTGAACGCTGTGATCGTCCTTAACGTCTCACTCAGATCACCCCACACTCACTCCATGGCTGGAGGGGTCCCGAAGGGTAAGGCTACAGCCACGCCTCCTTGACACCTTTGTCAGACAGGGTCTCCCTATGGTCCAGGCTGGACTCCTACAGGCTGAACCCATTAGTGACCACCAGGGAGCTTGGACCTCCTCTCTTTCTGACCGGGACCGGTTTGCCCCTCCTTAGAGAGCTCCTCCTCACCTGCTCACCATATTAGTGCCAGATGGTGTAGACACCTCATTGACTCTGGCCCCTCTGCCGCTCAAAACTCCTAAACCCAAGTGATCCACCAGCTGCATATTCTCCATTGGCTACTCTGCCCAAGGTCAACCCTCCCCCTTACACACATTTATGCTCTGCCCTAGGTCTCCTTCCTCACCTGTGGGGCCCATCTGGATTCTAGGCCAGCTGCTAGTCTGGTGTCCCAACTCCTAATATATATTACTCTCTCTACTGGTGCTCCATGCACCCACCTACTCACTCACTCACTCATACATCCATTCATTTCCTGAGGGGTCTTCCTATTGCCTCTCAGATGAACTGCAGACCCCACCCCAGCTTGGGCATCTGAAGGCCTTCCCAGCCTGATCCCAGCCTCCCTCTCCAGACTTCTCTTCTTACACTCTATGTTCTAGCAAAACTAGCCCATTTGCTGTGTTCTGGTCTTGGCCTGCCATCTTTGGCCTGAGACAGCTCGACCTGGTCCCCATCCCAAGAACGTGCCCCTTCCTGAGCTCCTCCTCTCGGCCTCCCCAGCTTCCTTAAAGGGGCAACTCAGGACCTCTCTTTCTGGAAGCTTAATTTTATTCTGCAGTAACTTACCTATGCTATGATTGTGTTCTGCTCCCCCAACATACCTCCAGACCCACCCCCCACATACATACCCTTATACACACACACCCCCATATACTCACCCTCATATGCACACACACCCCCATACACACATCCTCACACACATACCCATAGAAACATACACACTCACATATACACACCTATACATACCCCCCATACACATATAGCCATATACACACCCTTATACACTTACACCTATACACACATACTCACACACATCCCCATACACACACACACATATATACTCTCACATTCACATACGCGCCCATACACACACACACACACACACACACACACACACACACACACACACACACACACACGCTCCCTGAGCACCCAGACTGGTTTGCATTTTCTTGTTTTTTACTCCCAGTGCTGAGTGAATTTAGGACTCTGATTTTCTCAGGATTAGCAGCTCCCTGGTGAGGAAAGTCCCTCTACCAGCGCTAACTGGCACCTTCTCTGCAATTTAGAAAGTAGCCAGGAGCCTCAGCCAGTCTTTATCAGGGGCTCCATTGGAACCCAGCTCACCCATTACAGTCCCCACCCCAGAAGACTTTTTAAAAAAAATCGTATCTTGTAGCTTTTTTGTAAAAACAGTGTTTAACATTTGAGCTCCAAACACTCACAGCCACTTTTATCTCCATGAATAGTTTGGGGTCTCACCGGGATTCAGCCTCAGGTTTCTGGCGACAGGCTGGGGCGGGGAGGAGGAAGAGAGAACTAACCCTTGAATCTCTGACCTCTGACCCAAGCTGGCCCAGTCATCTTGGGCAGTTCACTCCATTTGTCAGTGCCCCAAGCTGCAGAGTCACTGCTGAGATAAAATGGTGCAGGGAGTTTATTTTAACAGGACCTCTCCCCCTACCTCAGTGAATGGTGATAAGACCACCAGCTAACACTTCTAGAGGACTTTCAATTTTGCAAAGAGCTTCCCATATAAGATCTCATTGTATCCTCACAACACACAGGGAGATGGGTGCTATTATTATCCCATTTTACAGGTGGGGAAACTGAGGCAGAGAGCAGCTAAGATACTTGCCTAGGGTCACACAGCTAGTAAAAGTCTGAGGCAGGATTCAAATGCAGGTCTTCCTCACTCCAAGTGCAGGGCTCTGTGTTCTATGCCTCAGTGCCCAGGTCCAGATCCTGCTCACCCCCACCTACAACCTAGAACCCTTCCATCTGAGCTGTCAGGGAATCCTGACCTTGCCTCTCCCTCCCATCTGGCCCCAGGTGTTCCTCTACCTACTGCCTGGACTACTCAAGATGCACATGAGACCCTTTGGCCCCCCGGCCCCCAGACGCCTCCCCCGATACCTCCAGAACGGCTCTTCAGGGGGGTCAGAGTTTGCTGGGGAGGAGGCTGCCCCGTGGATGCCATGCACTGAGCTTGTGTTCCAGCAGCGATGGCAGAGGGATGGGCTGGTGAAGGCTGCCCTGGAGAAGATAGGTGAGGGCAGGGAACAGGGCTGAGGCCCTGGGGGTGTCTTGTGTGCTGCTCAGCTCCTGGGCCCACGAGGCAGGGCTACTGGTCCAAGGTGGAAGTATGGGGAGAAAACAGGGTTAGGGTTAGCGAAGATCCTGGATTGGGCAGAGGGACCAGTTCAGCGGAAAGGGGACTGGCCAGCTTTGGGGGCAGAGGACACCTGGGCTCAAAACACACCTCTGATGTATAACACCTATGTGACCTTGGGAAAGTCACCTCCCTTCTCTGGGCCTCAGTTTTCTCCTTTGCAAAAATGGGGGGTGGGGAGGCAGGGAGAAGGCAGGGGAGGGGACAACCCCTGAGGTCCTTCCTAGCCTGGATCTATGACCTCCTCTGCCCAGTTCTCTCCCGCTTTCAAACCTTTCCTTCTCCTCTTGGCTTCCTCATCAGGGAACGGTCTGGAGTCTGGGCACAGTCAGGAATTCTGTGCCAGCCTAAAGCAGGCGGCCCCTGCCATCCAGGCCTGTGTGGATGCCTGCAACCACATTGCCTGGACCAGGAGACAGCAGAGACGGTTTGACAATGTGAGTTGGGGGGGGGGCAGGATCACAAGGGAGGGGCAGGAGGACTGGAGATGGCAAAGAGAGGATGAGGATGGAGGTGAAGATGAAGAACGCTAGAGCCCTCTCCCCACCAACTCCAAAGCCATTTCTAGCAAGCACAGTAATTTATTAAGCATCTACTCGGTGCCACAAAGACCAAAAACAATGCAGTTCCTGCCCTCAGGTAGCCTATAGTCTTCCCTTGCATTTATTTACTTTCTATACATTTGCATTTATTTACTATCTGTGTGACCCTGGGCAAATCACTCTCTGAGACTCAGTTTCCTCATCTGTAAAATGAAGGGGTTGTGCCCTCTGGAGCCCTTCCAGCTCTAGAATTACGATCAGCCTGTAACTACTGTTTCTCCAAAACAAAATGTGCGCTCCTGGAGGGCAGTTACTGTGATAGTGATCAAAGTGCCAGCCTTGGAGCCAGCCTCGAGCTTGAATCCAGCCTCTGACTGTGGAACCTGGGTTTGTGTAACCCCAGGTCAGCCTCTTCTCTAATGCCCCAGGCAGCTCAGCTGCACAGAAGATGCCAATCTGCACTGGTAGAGTTTCCTCACCCGGATGTTTCCTATACCAGTAAAAGTACAGCTCTAGTTCTTATCCCCAGCACCTGGCAGTTAGCAGGTACTTTGTAAGTGCTGTTTGAATGAATGGGATAGCTAGGTGACCCAGCAGATAGAGCACCGGGCCTGGAGTGAGGAAAACTCATGTTCCTGAGCTCAAGTCCAATGTCAGGCACTTACTAGCTGTGTGACCCTGGGCAAGTCACTTTATCCTGTTTGCCTCAGTTTCCTCATCTGTAAAATGAGCCACAGAAGGAAATGGCAAACACTCTAGTATCTTTGCCAAGAAAATCCCAAATGGAGTCACAAAGAGTCAGTCACACAACTGAAAAATGACTGAACGCACACATTGAATGAATGAAAAATGACTGAACACATACATAGAATGGGTGGATGGATGGATGGATGGATGGATGGATGGATGGATGAAAGCACATTTAAGGATTAGAGACAAGGTTGCTTGCCTGCCCATCCCATGGTTGTCTCCGATGATGTAGGAGAATGAAGAATGGATGCTGGTGGGCCGTGTTCTGGACCGAGTCTGCTTTCTGGCCATGATCGTACTTTTCTTCTGTGGCACCGTTGGCATCTTTGTCCTGGCCCACTACAACCAGGTCCCAGCTCTCCCCTTCCCGGGAGATCCCCGAACTTACCTGCCTTAGCTGTCCTGGGCAGTGGGGGGGGGGCCGGACCATTGGCGGCCCCCCTCTGCTTGTTCTGGGCCTGTGATGTCCAATCTTGGCATTTGCTCCCACCATGAGGCATCAAGGTTGGGGCACCTCTTATGGGAAGAAAGGAGGCAAAGATGTTTGTGTTTCCACAATGGAATTTTTCAGAACTCTGTGATCTGGATGCTGTGAGGAAAAGCCAGGGGGAAATAAAGGGACAGACATTGAACAACTGGTGTGTTTTTGAGGAGCGCAAAGGGTCCAGGTGGGACTTCCCTGAGCAAGGATGAGATTTCAATTACCCAATTTAACCAGCATGTGTTAGACATGTTAGTAAAGTATAAGCTTCCTGAGGGCAGCGGAGTGGGGTGTATGTGAGTCTTTGTGTACTAACACAATTCCTGGAACATACTAGGTGCTTAATAAATGCATCTTGGACAAACAAAGCATATAAAGACAAAAGTGAAAAAGAGTTCCTGTGTTTAATCAGTCATTCAATCAACAACATTTATTAAGCACCTACGAATTGTGTTCTCAAAGAGCATCCACTCTGTTACGGTTCTGCAGCTATACTTCTAGGGGGTGCAGCGGATAGAACAGCACGTCCACATGTTTGAATGAGGTCATAGGGAAGTTGTGTTACCTTGGACAAAGCAGAACTGGAAGAAACCTTAAATTCTAACCCCCTCATTTTATGAGGAAACTGAGGCCCAGAGAAGTTGGCTGCTTTGTCCAAGGTGACACAAATAGTAAGCATTGGAGGCAGGATTTGAACTCAGGGCATCAGACTCTAGAGGCTGTGTTTTTCCCCTTGTAGCACAGGGGCCTCCCCTTCCCCACACCCCAACCTCCCACAGTCCTCCCCAGGGATGCGTGGCAGGTTGGTAGCTAATGGACACACAGCCTTTCCGTGAATGCCATGAATGTCAGTCTTCGGAGAATGAAATCAGGAGACGTGGAAATGCTGGCGGTAAGTTAGGTTGAAGTCTCTGACAGACACCAAGAAGTTAGCTTAAACCAGAGACTGTGAGCTGGCTGCAAGGGCCCTGGGCCATGTGCTGATGCAACCTGGCACCTGCAGCAGACTCCACGGCTGATAAATGCCTTCCAGCCATGACTCTGTGAAAGGGGACAGACAGGTGTCTGTTCTGAGACAGGGATCTCCCCGAGGGCTGAGACAAGAGGGGTCACAGGGGACAGAGCCCCGGGCCTGAAGTGAAGAACACTGAGTTGTAACCTGGCCTCAGACATTAGCTGTGTGACCCTGGGCAAGTCATTTAACCTCTGTTTGCCTCAGTTTCCCCAGCTGTAAAATGGCAACAATGACCTCACCTATCAAATGAGATAATAATTGTAAAGTGTTTTCACAATGGCTAGCACGTAGTGATATATAAATGTTAGCTCTATTATTTAAAAAGCTGTTTTTAAAAGTCTTTTTTTAAAAAAAAAACTAAAACCACGGGGGGGGGGATAGAGAGAGAGAGAAGAGATCCCTATGACCGGGGACTTTAGCTGCAACTGGAAGCAGAGAAGCACTTGGCAGCATCGGGGAAGACCCCCTGTCTGCCTCTGGTGCAGACCACACAGCAGGAGCAGAACAATGCTCTCGCCAGGAGATATCGGCTTCCCTGCAGTGTCCAAGGTAGCCCTGGCCCAAACGGTCCTCACGTGGCTGCCTCTGCATGTCGATTTCTCACGTGTATCTATTCACCTGGCTGTGCTCCGCTGGCTCTTTACTTCTTTCTTTAGCTGGTCATCCCTCACCCTGCTTCCACTTCATTCTACTTTTCTGCAGCTGGTCTCTAAAGCCTCCAATCAGGGTCACCTTATAAGCAATGATCCATCTCTAGTATGATTTTAACCCCCCAAATTCTAACCTTTTGTCAGGTAAAACTCCACAGTTCTTATATGATTTTCCCATGGTACCCCAAAGTTATTTAATTTGTGATTTTTCAGTTATAATCTTTTAAAACTCTAAAAACCATCACACGCAAATCAGCTGATGGACCACAGTACCCTATAGTCACCATTACCTCAGCTAGTGCTGCTCCTAAATAGGTTAGCTCTTATTATAGCTATTTTTGAAGCCTCCTACTTGGTTTTTTTTTTCTTAGCTGAAAGTATGGTACAGGGAGAGAGCCCTATTACCAAAGGTTGCAGCTGGAAGCAGAGAGAAACACCTGCTTTTAAACAGGTCTGTTTATCTCCAGTTTCTTAGACTCTCATCCTAGGTGTCATCCTCAACTTCTCATTGCTTCTCAAACCCCACATCTACTCTGTTGCCAAGGCCTTCACCTTTGCAACATCTCTCCAATAAACTCCCTTCTCTCTTCTGATACTGTCAGCACTCTGGTACAGTATCTTTTCACTCCTGTCTTCTGGTTGATCAGTAAAAGCAAACACACCTGTGGGGGCCTCAGCTACAGTTTTAAGTGAATACAAATCCATAGGCATAACAGCCCTGTGAGTTGGGACTGCCCCCAGACATTACAGGATAATAGGATCACAGATTTAGAAATAGAAGAAGTCTTGGAGGTCATCCATTCTCACTCCGTCATTTAACAGATGAGAAAACTGAGGCTCAGAAAAGCTGAGGGACTTGCCCAAAGCTACAGAGGCAGGATTTTAACCCACATCTTCTGATTCCAAATCTGAAGCTGAATTTCTTCAGTATCTGGCCCACAGTATCAACCCCAACCCCTCCTGTCATACTCAAGGACTCCAATCTGTGTGTTGCGTCCCCTCAGACACCCTGGCCTCCTCCTTCTAAGGGATGCTCGTACTTTCAGTCTCACTGTTGCCCATAACTGGTCTACCTCCATGATCCAGAACTCTGTAGTTCCTTTCTCTGGCCATAACTTCCATGTGTCCTTGTGATTCACTCCTCTTTGTTCTATTCTGGCCTCATTTTCCTTCTTTGAAGTCTTCAGACTATAATTAAGCAGCTCAGCTATTATCTGGCCTCTACACTGGATTTCCTTCTACTACCACCATTCACTTTCTTTGTTCCTGGTGGCATGGCGCTCAACACCAATGGAGGAAGTCATTCAACTTTGCCTACCGGTACATTACAGATTTATGAGGCCTGATCTCAACTGGGCCCTCAGGCAATCCTTTTATTTTGATCTGCTGCTCTTCCCAAACCTTCCCTTCTTTCTTCAAGCCTTATAAATCACTCCCTGCCCAAACTTAGGTGGCAAAGGACTTGGCCTCCTACTTAGGAATTTACACTAACCCTAACCTTATCCTACCCTTCCCCCCCAAACCCTTTGCTCTAAGCATCCCCTATCTTCTCCTCCTTCCAGCTGGACTCTGAGGACCAGGTGGCTGTCTCCAGGCAAAGCCCAACCTTCTCCTTGTGTGCTCGATCCCACCCCCATCAGACTCCTTCAGAAGCTGTACCCTTTACAATCTCTCCTTGCCATCTTCAGTCTCCTAAATGAAGACCCCAAGCCCAAAACTCTTCACTTGACCTTACCTTAGCATCCCCTCAAGAAGCCATTCCTCTTCCCTTTCACAATTAAACTCCTAGAAAACAGTGCAAGGCATCATAAATGGTGAAAGGATCATAGATTTTAGAGCTGGAAGGTACTTTAGACTTTAGGCATTTATTAAGTACCGACTACATGCCAAGCTCTGTACTAATTGCCAGGTATACAAAAAGAGACAAAAGACAGTCTATGCCCTCAAGGAGCTCACAATCTAATGGGAGAGACTACACGCAAACATATACATACACACGTAAACAAATAGGAAATAATGAATGGAGGGAAGGTGCTGGAGCTATGAGGGGCTGGGGAAGGCTTCCTGTAGAAGGTGGGATTTTAGGTGGAACTTAAAGGAAGCCAAGGAGGTCAGCAGTCAGAGCAGAGGAAGGGGAGTGTTCCAGGCATGGGGGATGGCCAGAGAGATGCCCAGAGCCCAGAGATGGAGGGTTTGGTTTGTGGCACAGCCAGGAGGTGACTGGAAAGGTAGAAGGGGGCTTGGTGAGGACGGGCTTGGAAGGCCAAACAAAGCCCCTCAGATTGGATCCTGGAGTCCATAGGGAGCTACTGGGGTTTATTGGGGGAGGGGTGATGTGGTCAGAGCTGAGCTTTAGGGAGGTGACTGCCCCTGAACCTCAGTTTTCCTCTCTGTGAAATGAAGGGGTTAGATTATACAGCTCTGAAGTCCCTTCCAACTCAGGTTTTATGAGCTTGGGCTCTGCTCCATTCTAATTTTTAAGGAATTATTTTCTTCAGTAAGCTTTTGGACCTCCTTTTCCATTTGGCCAATTCTGCTTTTTAAGGCCTTCTCCTCATTGGCTTTTTGGACCTCTTTTGCCATTTAGTCTATTTTTTAAGGTGTTATTTTCTTCAATTTTTGGGGGGTCTCTTTTAGCCATCTGTTGACTTGTTTTTCATGATTTTCTTGCATCACTCTCATTTCTCTTCCCCATTTTCCCTCTACTTTCAAAATCCTTTTTGAGCTCTTCCATGGCATGAGACCAATTCCTATTTTTCTTAGAAGCTTTGGATACAGGAGCTTAGACTCTGTTGACTTCTTCTAGATGTATGTTTTGATCTTCCTTGTCACCAAAGTAAGATTCTATAGTCTGATTCCCACCCCCACCCCCCATATTTGCTCACTTCCCCAGTCAATTACTTGCCTTTTTAACTCTTTGTTAAGGTAGGGCTCTGCTTCCAGGGTAGAGGGCGCGCTGTCCCAAGCTTCAGGGACTTTGTGCAGCTGTTTCCAAAGAGACTTCTAGGGACCTGTAAGTTTTCCGTTCTTCCAAGGTGGTGTGATCTAAGGAGAGGTGTGTACTACTCTCCTGGTCTGTGCTGTGGTCAGTGAGTGACCACATGCACTCTTTTCTGCCCTGGAACTCCGAGGAGGGTTCCCTCTCTCCTGCTGCCACAAGCTCTGCTGAGAGCTCTGGAAGCAGCCATCTCAGCCACCACTGCCGCCACCCTAGGGTTGCGCTCCTCTCTCACCCAGGTCCAGGTCCAACAGACCTTTCCCATTGCCCTTCTAAGTGGTCTTTGCTGTCTGTGGGCTAAGTCTGGAAGCCACCCCATGGGCCTGTGAGTTGGGCCTGCTATGGGTCACTGAAGCCTGGCCTGGGCTGGCGTGGTTTGTGCTGGACCACGCTCCTGACCCAGTCTGGCACAACCTTTCCCTTCAGCTATCTAGGTTGTCTTGGGCTTCTGCTGCTCTAGCATTTCTTTAGTCACTTTTACAGGTATTTGGAGAGTTTAGGGGAGAGCTCAGGTGCCCTACCTTTGCTCTGCCGTCTTGGCTGCACCCCTGAACTTGGTTGGGCCCTTTGATAATCATTTCCTTTCCTCCGGCCTCAGTTTCCCCATCTGTAAACAGAGGGGGCTGGACCGTGACCTCTCGGGTCCCTTCCCTTCCCCGGGCCTCAGTTTCTTCTTCTGTAAGAAGGAGGAGGGTGGGCTGCCCGGCCCCACTCCTCCTCTTCCTCTTTCACCAGTCCCAGCGTAGGGGTGGGGATGTCTGCTCTCTCCCGCCCCCTTTCGCTCCGCCCCCCAGCCCTAGGAAGAGGAGCCGCCCCGCCCCGCCCGGCTCGGCACTGCGCAGGCGCGTCGTCCGGCCCCGCCCCCGGCTCCTCGAGGAGGTGCTCTCTCCGTTCCCCCTCCCACCTTGGTCGGGAGGCTCGCACGCTGCACTTCCGGCTGTACGCAGCTCCGCCGGAAGTGTCCGGGGGACCCGAGGCCGAGGGACTCGGCGGAGCGGAAGTCAGTGAGTGAGACGACGGCGGCGGCGGTGAGAGGATGAACAACAAGTTCGACGCGTGAGTGGCGTGGCGCGCGGCCCCAACCGCCGCCCCGGCCCGGGCCGGCCGGAGCCTGAGCCCGCCTCCGCCAGGGCCCGCCCGGGGCCGAGGACGGGGCCCGGGGGGGGGCTGGGGGGAGGGGAGGACCCGGGCGGGGGAGGCAGAGCTGAGGCACCCACCTCTTCTCCCCTCTCCCAAGCGACGCGCATTTATTAAGCGCCTCTGAGGTGCCTGGCGGGGCGGTGGTGCCGCGCGGCGGCGAGGGCGCTGGCTTTGGGTTCTGAGGAGCTGGGTTCGAATCCTGGCCCTGTCACCACCCTCTGCGACCTTGGGCAAGTCTCTTCCCTTCTTGGGTCTCCGCTTCCCCTTTTTTCCTTAGCCGTGGAGTGGAAGCTCCTTGAGGGCAGCCCCCGTCGCCCACAGCAGGCATCGATTAAGCGCCTCCCACGCACCTGACGGGTGGGGATGCATCCCTAGGGCCAGGCACGTAGTAGGCGCCTAATGCATGCTCGCCGGCTGGTGGCTCAGTAGAAGTGAGAGGGTTGGGCTGGAGGGCCGGGCGCCTGCCCTCGAGGAGCTTCCGCTCTGCCAAGCTGGGGCTTTCCCGCAAAGTGTTTGCCGAGGTAGAAAGCCGAGTAAACGCCGAGCGATGGGTGGGGGCGGGAAGGACCCCGCAGCCACGTGGGGCTCCCCTGCGGGGGGGGGGCGCGAGATGGAGTCGGGGACCCCGTCTCTGGCACCTCGTGTGACCTTGGGCGAGTCACTTAGCCGGGCTTGGCCTCAGTTAACTTGGGTAGAGGGAGAGGTTCGGGGGCGATGACCTTTGAGGGTCAGCCCTGGTGGAAATCTTTAGTCCTGGGTGCTGCAGGGGCCCTAGACAGCTTGCACTTTGCAAGGAGCAGGGTTCCCATCTCAGCTAGGTGTGACCTTGGGTGAATTGCTGTAGGTTTGTTGGATTTGACCTTTGCTGCCCTAAACGTGTGATCTTGTGAGTCCTAGAAAAGTTTCATAGGAGGGAAAGTGACTGGCCCAGGGTCACACAGCTAGGAAGTAGCTGAGCTACGATTTCAAGCCAAGTCTTTTGACTCGAGATCCGGTGGCCAGGAAGGGGCCCTAGACCTCATGTAGCACTAAGCAGTGCTATCCCCTCCTTTTGCAGATGAGAAAACTGAGGCTCAGAGAGGGAAAAGGACTTGCCGAAGACATTAATGAGACCCAAACTCAGATCTCCTGACTGGTATCCTGGCTTCCTTCTTTCCAGGCAACCAAAAAACACTCCTTGAGAAATTCATCAGAGTTCACTTCCTTTTGTCTTTTGTTACCATTAAGCAATCCACTACATGTCTTACAAGTAACTTAGTTGCTGAGAGGAAATGTACTTGCAGGCCCTCTACCCTTCTCCCACTGTTCTGAAAACGAGTTTCTCCCTCACTTTCTTTGGTATCCTACAGAGCTGTGGTGTAAGATTAGGAAAAGACTACGGCACAGTCGATTCAGAGACAGATGCGTGAAGACAAGCTCCAAGTTTATGTTCTGTTATAGGACATGAGTACTTCTGGTGAGAATCAGGGTTCCGCATTTCAAGCATTCGAGGTGGTCGTAGAAGGCTGCGGTGTATCTCTAACACCATTGGAAGACATGTCCTGTGCTGATAGAATTGGCAGCCAAAAACCAAATTTAATAAGATGAAAGATAAATGCAAAGTCTTACACTTGAGTTAAAAAAAAATCATCTCTACAAGTCCAGAATGGAAGAGGCATGCTTTCCTCTGAAAAATGCTTGGAGGCCTTAGAGGGTTGCAGGCTCAGTGAACAGTCTAGTGTTCAGGGCTAAGGAGGTCATAGCTGTCCTCTGCTGTGATCAGACAGCATCGGAGCATTGGTTCAGTCCTGTGCACCACATTTTAGGAAAGCAGTTGGCAAGGTAGAATGTATACCCAAAGGGAGGGGTGGGGGTGGAGACAAGGAGACCAGGGTTGTAAGGGGAACAGAAGCCTGGCTTTCTGGGGTTTGATCTAAGGGACTGAGAATGTTTAATCCAGAGGAGAGAAGGCTTTGTTTTCCTTGGCCCTGGGGGGTGGAGTAGAAAGAAGTTGTGGTGGCAGAGTGGAGAGAGAGGGCTTCCTCATAGAATGTTGAGTTCCCTGTCAGTGGAGGTTTCTCATAAAGAATGGGTGCCTGATTGTCAGAGATGTTGCTCAGATGAGGGTACAAGAACTCTGTGGTTGAACCTGAGCCTCTGTGGTTCCTCAGGAATGCTTTTTGCTTGCTTCAGGGTCTCCTGGGTCAGGTTTCTTTCATCAGGAAAAGTGTTTTCCCAGAGTGTCTCTGTTTTTCTCTATTCTCTCCTTATCTCTGTTTTATCTGTCCAGTGCTATCTAGCCCAGCCTTTTCCCCATCAGCCTACTTCCCTGGCGCTCACTGTCTTCTGCATTCATCTGGTGCTTTGCGTAGTCTCTTGTTACGTGCATATGCCGGTCGGTCAGCCAGCATTTAGTGAGCGCTTGCTGTATGCCTGGCATCATGTGGGTGCTCCCATCCAAGGTGGGGAGACAACAAGGAAATCACTAGCCATGGATGAGATATGTGCAAATAAAAGGAAGGTGAGCTCTGAGAGAAAGCAGCAAGAGCTCTGATGCTTGAGACAAGGATGGTTCGTTGACCTGTCGTCCACCTCTGCTGCTGAGCAGCAGATGCTCAGTGAAGGTTGGTTGATGGTGGTTGCTTATCCAAGGGAGTTGGAACCTGAATTAATCGCCACCTTTTCCTATAAGAAATTCATGTATTTGATGGCTCTAACCTGGGGTGTAGTTTGAGCATTTCTAGTATTAGTCACACTTATTAACCACGTACCTCTCTTTAGTTCCAAGGCAACAGCCAGAAGAGTGATTTCAGAGCTCCCACTTTAAGTTGTTGATTTAGAATATCCATCTTTCCGTGTCCCAAACTTTTGTCCAGGAGTCCGTTCTCCTTGAGCTAGTCTGTCCTGCTTTTCTCCCGTGTCGGCAGAGTCCTAGATTAGTGCTCGATCCTTAGCATTTCCCAGAAAATTTCCCAGCACTAGGCTGGAGTCCTGGCATTCTGGGATGGTGTGCTCGAAAGCTCTGCCCACCCTTTTGACAGCTGTAGTTGGTATCGGAGGGCCGACATAGGCTTTCTGCTTGGGGTCTCGCTTAACCTGCCAGGAGTCCTTTCCTTGTTTTGCTTTAACATTTGGGCATCTTCCACACCCACGCACTGAATTCAGGTGGGTTCTCTTCATTCAAGACAGTGAATCTCACGCATCTCCTGGTTCTTTTGGATAAGGAAGAGGCAGGTCAGCCATAGGAGGAACATTGTTTTATCTTTTCTTTCAGCTTGAAAGATGATGACAGTGGGGACCATGACCAGAATGAAGAAAACAGCACACAGAAAGACGGTGAGAAGGAAAAAAGTGAGCGAGACAAAAGTCAGAGCAGCAACAAGAGGAAGGTGTGTTTGGAGCTGTGTTCTCAGATGCATTCAGCAGCAGGTTTAGATCTTGGGAAGCTGGTGAGATCTGTCTAGTCCAAGACTCGCACAGAGCCTCTTCTTCTGAAGCCACCATCCCCTTACTCAGAGAGATTTTGTGGTGTCTTGGAGGCTCTTCCCCTACTCTGGATACCTAGCATGCTGGATGGAGAGAATTTTGTCTTGAGAGAGGGGATTTCCTGAGGTCCTCTTATAACTAGTGCTTGAGGTGGTGTGCGTTCTCCAGTTCTAGCAGACAGCTTTAAATTATCCTTACTTAAGTTAGGGGCTACCTGGCCCTTTTGTTTGGGAGCAGGGGAGGCTTCGGAGTGCCGAGGAGGGCCACCCGAGCTTGCCTTTCTGGAAGGGGCTAAGTGGGCTGCTTTGTTCCACAGGCTGTTGTCCCTGGGCCTGCAGAACACCCACTGCAGTACAACTACACTTTCTGGTACTCCCGGAGGACACCAGGCCGGCCGACCAGCTCGCAGAGCTACGAGCAGAACATTAAGCAGATCGGCACGTTCGCCTCCGTGAGTCTTCTCGCTTGCGGTGTCACGTTTGCACCTGTGTGTTCATGAATGCCGCGAGCAGCCCTTCATCTGCTCTGGCAGACTGCCATTCAGTTTACTTGTAGAAGCCGATAACCGGGGATTAGAGGTTTGTGCTTGCTCTTAGACACGTAGGGCACATGATCAGTTTCGTCGACTAAATGGTTTGCAGGAGACCTTGGATAAAGAAGAAAGTCTGCGTGTGTGCGTGTGTGCGTGTGTGTGTGTGTGTGTGCGTGTGTGTGTGTATTTTGCTTTTTTGTGGTTAGGCAGTCGGGATTAAGTGACTTGCCCGGGGTCACACAGCTAGTAAGTGTCAAGTGTCTGATGTTGTATTTGAACTCAGGTCCTCCTGACTACAAGGCTGGAGCTGTATGCACTGCGCCACCTAGCTGTCCCTTACATCCATCTATTTTTAAAACATTGATTCATTTATACCTAGAAAATCTTGGCTATGGATTTGGGGTCCAAAGTGATTTTCCTTAAACCTTTCATTTTGCACATTTTTATTGAATATATACTGTGTGATAGACACAGAGATGGATGAGAAATGGTCCCGTCCTCAAGGACTTTATAATCTCGTGGGGTTTGGGTTAGTATTAAGTGATAACGTCCAAAGAGAAGAGGTCCTTCCTTTTGCTTTGTGTATTTTGTGGTATCAGAGATGATGGCAGACATTATCTTAGAGGTGACCCTCTTCCCTGCTTGGCTCCTTTTATGTGATTGGCCCTGTGTGAGGACTGAAAGACGGGTCAGAATCACTTTCACAGGAGATGGGGTGAACATCTCGTTTTGCCTTAGGGTAGACCAGCCCCTGGGTGGCCCTAAACAGAGCTAAGGAACAACTTGTTCGCTAGCTCTGTTGTGGGCAAGGGAGGGTGTTTTGAGGAAACCCTGGGTGGGAAGATAGCACACTCCTGGCACAGGATGGAGGTGCTCAGGCCAAGGTGGGTGTTTCCTTGCAGTATTTGGGGGAGTCTCAACTGCTTGGGGCAGTGGAAAGCTACCAGGGAAGGCTTCATTCCCTCCTTTCAGGATGGGCCACTGTGGAGGGACAGTGGAGGACAATGTGGTTCCTTCTCTTCTTAAGGTTATGGTGTTGACAGTATTGCTGGAAGCTCTGCCCAGACCTTTCCTCACGACCACCACGTGAGGCAGCTAGTTCAAATGACCTTGTCCCCACTTTCCAGAGAAGAGACACTGGGTATCAGTGACTTGCCCGGGATCATGCTGAGTCTGGTAAAGTCCTGCCTCTCAGCTGACTGCCCAGACTGGCCCTTATTCTGTTACACTGGCCTGCTGTCACTCTCAGGAGGGCACCATCTCCTGTGGCTGAGGATGGGGGGTGCAGGCTGCTGGGCTTGGACCTTGGAAGCCAAATCCATCCCACCATGGGTCCAGGGCTGTTCACTTCTTTAATCTTTTAGCATCAAGTGCTGTGTCAGTGTTACTATCGTTACTGGAATTATTACCTCCATAACCTTAAGAGACAGGGTCTTAAGTGGAAGGAGCCCCATCCTCAGCCAGTGTCCCTTTGCTTCAATTTCTTCATCAGGAGAATGAGGACAATAGAATACGTACGCGACTTCTTTTGCAGAGTAGTTTTGAGGAAAGTGATTGGTAAACCATAAAGCACCAGAGAAATGGCATCAGGATAAAAAGACAGGCATGTATACATGTGCCTGAGTGCATGTTGAAAGGAGATTGACTTTGGCTCCAGTTTTCCAAAGGAAAAGCTGATGGAAGGGGTTGAGGTGTGGGGATCTATCAGTACATGTTTGCCAAGGGGGCGCTTATCTACTTAGGCCAGGGGGGTGGGGGAGAGAGGGAGGGAGGGAGAGAGAGAGAGAGAGAGAGAGAGAGAGAGAGAGAGAGAGAGAGAGAGAGAGAGAGAGAGAGAGAGAGAGAGAGAGAGTGTGTGTGTGGTGTGTGTGTGAGATACCCACCCCCCTGCTGCCACCCCCTCCTTCTCCCTCCTAGAAGCTGAATCCAGGAATGTCCTGACTTCTCTCGCTCTCATGCCACATTGAGCCTGGGGTTTGTGCTCCCCAAGAAGAGCAGCGCCTGTCTTTTATTTGGCACATGTTTGTGGTGCCGCCTTCTCTCTACCTCCCCCTCCATTGGGGAATCAGGCAGATTATAAATCACAAATAGGATTGGCCCTGTGGAAACCACAGTTATGAACAGAGTATGTGAGGAAGAGCAGCTAAACCTATTGTTGGAGTCTATTCTGAAGGCTTAGGAGGAGGAGGAGGAGGATTTGGGGCTTGGTGGCAGATCGCGTACCCAGACCGCTGTGGCAGCCTGTGAGTCTTGGCATTGCTTCATGCCCTGCTCAGAATCCCTTGTTCATCTGTTCAGAAACCTGGTGTGACTCCCAGTTGGCTGCCACGTAAAGCTCAAATGCTGCTGCATGTTCCCCCACCGTCCTCCCCACCTGCACCAGTGCTCTCCTCTCTGCTGCTGGAGCCTTGTGCCTGCTGCCTCCAGTGCTCCCCAGGTGTCCTTCCACTGGCACCTGTGGGATTTCTCTCAGTGCCTAGAGCACTGGGTGGCCTCCCTCTGCTGGTTTAGCCTACCCCTGCTGCTGGCTGTCTTCCTTGGGCTTCTCACACTGCGTGCCCTCCCCCTCTCCTTCATGGGCCTCACATCCTCTCTTGTACCAGTTTCGAGAGCAGTTTTTGTTGTTATTTTGGCATCCAGGTGCCTTGCATGTGGCAGGCACTGATATTTACTGTATTAATTTTGTTCTAATCAGCAGCCTTAAAATAAAACTGCAAACTTTGGCACTCCAGAGGCACCACTAGAGGGCCCTTACGGTAACCAGTGGAGGGGGGAGTAATCCATTTAATTTGACATCCATGCATCCCCATCTACCATGTGTAGACTGCTGTGTAGAGGGAGCAAAGCATCATTAGGGTGTGGACTTTGCCCTCCTGGAGCATGTCCCAGGCCCTGAGCTGAAGCGATTAGTCTTGTGAAGATAAAACTTGTACCCTTGGAATGTATAGAGCACAGTGTACTCTAGGCTAGACAGCATACAGGGGAGAGCTGAATTCCTTCTGACTGGTTAATATGTGCCTGGTGCTGTAAGTGCCATGGGCAGTCAAGGACCAAAGGTGCCCATGGGCTGATGCTATCAGAGGAGGCTCCAGGGAGCAGGGCCAGGTGCCAAGGGGCCTGTGCCCATAGGCTGGTGGCTCTGTTGAAAAGTAACTTGAATAGGACAGTGACTCTTGGGAAGCGCTTAGTGCCTCATTTACTTGGCAACGTGGGGAGCTCTGGGTGTGGAATGTCATGGTGCTTCCATACAAGCTATTTTCTTTTTCAGTCTTGATTAGTTTTGCTGGGGAAGGAAGGAAGAAGGGCACATTTGGAAATGAATGTTCTATAAAAATGAAAAGCATCCAAAAAAAGAAGCATTTTACTTAGAAAAATTGTTTTTCTAAAATCCTGCACATGTGTGTTTGATAGCTTCACCGGTCTTAGGCTCCTTGGAGTCATTTTGAACATTTCTTCCTCTGACTTGTTTGAGTCTGTCATGAATGACTGAGTGTGGAAGCGGTTAATAAGGGCTGACTCTTCCAACGAACTTCCTTAGAATACTTTCACCCTCTTTTTATTCTGTGCAGGGATTTGGAAACCCATAGTACTGTAGGCTTAGGAGTTTTGAGATGAGAAAAGGGACGCCTTTGGTCATTTACAATGGTGACATCAAATGGGCCGGGTCTTGACTTAGAAAACCACAAATTTGTGGTATGTATGTTGTATAACATTTTTATTTATTTTGGAAAACATTTCCAGTTACATTTTATTCTGGTTCTAGCTACAGAAGGTTGTGAGTTTGGCACCTGGTTTTTTGTCTGTTTCTCCACCTGGTCATTTCATTGCTCTGAGTTGTAAGACAGGGCTGTAGCCACTAACAGCCATATAGTGAAAATATAGGCAAGTGGAGAAACTCTGTCCATAGGAAAATAAAACTTTCTATATTTACTCTTAAGGTAACCACTTAGGGTCACAGGTCTGTTTGTGACCACCTGAGCATTGCATACCCAGCTAATGTGCCCTAAATCCTCAAGAGCCCCTGACATTTCGTCTTCGTTGAGAACCAGGCATTGCATTGAGGCTGTGGAGCTGGTGGAATTCAAGTTAAAATATTAGAAATTTGAGTGTGAACTTGCCTGTAGAACTGTGACATAAAGAATGGTCACTTCATGTATTGTATAGTTTGTTTAATTGTGGATGTTGGCCAAAGCTAGAAGAGTGGTCTTGATGTCGGATCGTGTTCGGTGCCCTCGTTATGCCATCTTGTTGTGGGCCTCGTTCGTACTTCCTTGACTGTTTTTCTGTTTTCTAATGTCTCTACAAAGAATGAGGTAGAACTTGTACCACGGCCTTTCCCCGCCTTTGGATTATCTCGTGCTCTTGTTTTTCTCAATGTGCTTTCCTTAAAGTTAGAATTTATCTGGTACCTGCTCTCTGCAGAGTGCTGCACTAACTTTGTAGAGAAAGGCTTGACCTCCTAAAGAAACTCAAGCCTAATGGGAGAGAGAATACTGAGAAATGCTCGTAAGCATAAATGTAACAGAAAAATGTTAGGTGTATGTAATGGCTCTGCAGATGTGTGCATGATGGGATTGTTGGAGTGGCTGGGGGCACCTGGCACCAGGTGGAAGCCAAGACTTCACGGAGGAGGTGAATTTACCTGAGGAGGGATTATTGAAATAAGGCCAGAAAAACTAGGAGAGGGCATGTGCATATTTTCTGACCAGGAAGCAGAATGGTTCACTTGCTAGACATTAGTAAGAAGCTGCCATGTGGCAGTCTTGCTTGGCAGGATTCCTCTTTATTAACACGGTGCTAACTGGGGTGTCTTCACAGGTCGAGCAGTTCTGGAGGTTTTATAGCCACATGGTACGTCCTGGGGACCTGACAGGCCATAGTGACTTCCATCTCTTCAAAGAGGGAATCAAGCCCATGTGGGAGGTGAGTAAAGTCTCTGAGCTGCATGTGAGGGTTAGCTTTGACTTGCCTGGGCACGTCTCGGGTAGCAGTGATGGGGTCTGAGTGTTTAAAAAGCCTGGTCTCAAAATGAGAGATAGGACCTGGTGTTTTCTGAGAAGCAGAGATCAGTGAATACTTATAGGATGCCTTTTGAGGTAAGGACCTGTGTCTCTGGTTTGTTTCTATGAGTTGGCAGATGTGACACACACAAAAAATCAAACTCAAGCCCCATGGACCAGAGGTAGAGTGGGTGAGCTGGGGCTTCTCTCTCCCTCACCGTGGAGGGACACCTTCCCCTCGGTCCCCTGGGACTGTCGCTTGCGGTCTTCCCAGCTGTTGCTAGGAATGCTGTCAGCATCTCCAGTTAGTTAGGATCAGGTAACCAGAGGAGCTGGGAGGCAGGATGTCGCCATTGCTTTAACGCATCACATGAAAGTACCCATGAGTAACTTGAGCCTGAGGTAGTGGCTCCCTTCATTGAACCCTGGATTCCAGACCTCTGAATCGGGCCTCCTAGTAATTGATCTCGTTCTCTTTGGTTTCCTGAGGAACCTCTTCAGAAAAGAAGAGTAGTGGTTGGAAGGCTGTGTCTCTGCACTTTGTTATGGCTTGTAGTTTAGAGTCAAGTTCCTGTATTTTTACCTTTTTCTCCTACAAAATTGAGTGCTTCAGAAAATGCCAATTCTTCCTGAAGTTTGGCTTCTTCCTCAAATGGTCTGGGCTCTTTACTGTCTTGGGCGTGAAAGAAAAAAGCTTTGAAGCCATTTTTTATATTTTCACCCTCCTTTTTATAGGATGATGCAAATAAAAATGGTGGCAAATGGATTATTCGACTCCGCAAGGGCTTAGCATCCCGGTGCTGGGAGAATCTTATACTTGCCATGTTGGGGGAACAGTTCATGGTGGGCGAGGAGATCTGTGGGGCAGTTGTCTCTGTCCGTTTCCAGGTGAGTCACCCTGGGGTTGGCCCTGCCTTTTACCTCCGTGTCACCTTCTCTTTGCCTTGATCACGTGTCCTGTCCTCCCTCTAGGAGGACATTATTTCAATATGGAACAAGACTGCCAGTGACCAAGCAACCACAGCCCGTATCCGGGACACGCTCCGTCGAGTGCTTAACCTACCTCCCAACACCATAATGGAATACAAAACACACACCGACAGCATCAAGTACGTGTTGTGGGGGGGCCGGGGGTGTCCCTGAGCTCGGCAGGAACGGGGCTGCACGTTGGCCCCTCCCGGCCATGTGCCCGCCTGAGGCTGACCCGTGGAGATGGGCCAGGCCCACCTGAGACACCAGGGCTTTGGGTGACTTTGGGTAGCTCTGTAGTGGGCACCCACTCGGATCAGACGTGGGCCGTGGAAAAGAGATCTTTTCTTTTAAACCATTTTGTACTAACCTCGGCTTATTTTTACGTAGGCTGCCTTGTCTTTCAGTCTCTCTAATCTATTTCCTCAAAAGAAAGACAAGGTCTCTGCTTTTTCTTGCTGCTGTTGGAGGTGGTAGGTCCCTATTCTCACCTACCTGCAGTTTTAACCCCTTAGCTTCAGTCTGATTTCATAGCCCTGGGAATTGGACTTAGCCCTGGGGTGGTGATGGCATTTCCTTTTGTGTCAAGCTGCGAGTGCCAAGGACCCTGAGCAGGTGGTTCCCGTGGGGATACAAGGGTCAGAGGTGGAGGTGGCACCTCACCAGGAATCTCAGGAAACGGAGCCACTCACGCATAGGAAGTCTCACTGACCAGGGTTGCCTTTTCAGAGACAGGCTATTATTGAGAAGGACAGTACAAAGCCAATAAAAGCCATTAGAGCATCTCAGCCTGGGAAAGAGAGCTGACCATTAGGAGGCGGGCTTCCTGGGCGGAATGCCGCCCTTTGACCATGACTTTGTCGTATGCCTTCGGTAGGTCTCTTTGCCTGTCTGTGCTTCAGTTTCCCCATCTGTAAAATGGGGGATAATAATACTTAACCTACCTCACAGGGTTGTTGTGAGGCTGAATTAATGTCTGTAATTGATCTGAGTTCCTCCAACGGAGGGTGCTCGGGCAGTGCCAAGTATTATTATTATTATTATTATTATTATCATCACCTTCATGTTAACTCTGCTTATTAAAGACCAATCACGAGCCCGCCAGTTGTTTACAGCAGTCTAGCCATTTGGGACACTGCTTCCCCGTGTCCGGACAAAGGATGTGGGGTGGATGGAGTTGGGTTAGGTCCCTGGAGCCCATGGCCTCTTGGCATTTGCTTTGGTGACACTTCAGGCAGCTGGGGTCACGTCACGCACCTTGACAGCAGACTGGGAGCCTTTTTCCTTAGACCCTGGTGCTGTGTCTGCCACTGTGTGTTGTATGTGCTTCTGTGCATTTCAGTGGCCTGCTTTTATCGAATGCCCCAGCATTGGACTGGCTGTTAGCCAGAGACCCACCGGCCAGCCATTGCCCAGTCACTCACCCTAGTCTCTCTAGGTTAGCACTGCTTTTCTCTAGGTCAGTTTTTCTTACTCTTTGTTTTCAAGGTGTTGATAATTTTCTTCCTTTGGCCATACTGTGTATAGACCCACACCTGCATTTGTCTGGGTACTCCTACCTGTTCTGGTCAGAGAAAGATTTTTAAAGAGAGAGCAAGTCCGTGTGCTCCTCTCACCCCCCTCTGCCTCTGCGTTCTCCCAGTGCCCTGAAGCAGTCCTTCCTACGCGCTAGAGACGTGTAGGAATCCTGGGAGAGCCAGCCAAAGCCAAGGTGTCTTAGGCTTCTAGAGAAAATGACCTGGTATCCCTGTCACTTCAGGGACAGAGCCCTGCAACCCCGGGGACCCACAAAGCCCACCTTGGGACTCAGGTGCCATGCTCCCTCCCTTCCCCTCCCAATATGCCAACTTTTTGCACTTCCATTAGAATGCCAGGCAGGCTGGGCCCCCAAAGGCTCCTTTTTCATAACCTCTGGAAGACGCGGTTGAATGTGCCATGACCCTGTCCCTTACTGGATGGCACCATCGTCGCAGCTGGCGTCATCGGAGTCTCTTGTTGTGTTGGCGTGCCACCTGGAAGACACTTCTGTCCCCGGACAACAGGAGTTGGAAGAGCATCTTCTGTTTTCAGTGCAGGCTAACGCAGCCGCAGTGACAGCCGAGATCACTCAATAAATGGTGCGAAACGAGTTTGTCTCATGATCTTGCTCTTTCTGGTGCCTCCAAGAAGCGGCCTGTCTGACTGTCCCCAGGCTCCTCCTTTGTAGTGCGCTCCCAGGGAACAGTGCAGTGTCCACATGTGATGGCCAAGAGGAGCCACTGGGATCTGCCTCCAGGCCCTAGGGCACCCCAGGATGCTCTCAGCCAGGCCCTGTTCACATTGGAGACTCGGGTGGTGAAGGGGCTGTTAGGCCCAGAGTGGGGTGCCTCCCGTCTTGTCTTGCTGCCTTTCTCAGCTTGCCTTCACTTTGAATGAATCTCTTGCTTGGAGGCAGGGGAGTGCAAGCCCTGCTTCTGTCTGTGTGCACTTATGTGTCTGTTGCGTCTTGGCTTTGTACGAGCAGGGTTTTCCCAGCTGGCAGAGACCTTGGAGCTGCCGTCGCAGGAAGCCCCGTGCTTTGGCTCTTCTCAGGTTGCAGCGGGGGGGGCGGGGGGGGGGGGGCTGAGTCTTGCTCGAGCCCCTGACTTTGAGAGAGCCAACTTTCCAGCCTCCATCTTTGTCCCGGGTGAATTGGCTCTGAGGCAGGGAGACGGTAGAGCTGGGTCCTGGCTTGTTGCTTCTGCTTGGGTGCTGCAGCTTGTCCTCCTGAGGCAGGTGGGCTTCTCTGACCCCGAAGAAGAACTTGAGGAAGATTGCTTCTGCAGTCACTTAGCACTTTGGGGGCCATCTTCAGGCATCTCTGCCCTGGCACTGGATTGCCTGTCAGCCAGCACTTCGAGGCTTTTACTTTCTCAAAGTGGTCATTGTAGTTTTGACTGCCATCCTTCTGGTGTACCCTGACGGGGCTGAAAGGAGCACTGGTTGTCCCCAAGCCCTGGGCATCTGTGTTGTTTCCTTTATTAATGGGATCTAGGCCTGCTTACCGGAGCTACCAGGATCTCCAAGGCCCTGGCTCTGTTTACAGGATTTGTCAGTGAGCTGGAATCCTTTCTCTTGCCCTCTGTGACCCTTCTGCTCTCTCACTCTGCCCCCAAGGATTGTGGAGTATACAAAGTAGTGGTTAAATATCGTAAGTGAAGGCTGGCTTTTCTTTAAATGTAGCGTGACTCATGCGGTTGATGGGCTTTGTGATTGCCTAATGGACTGAGATCTGGTTAGAAGGCCCCAAATTTGGGGATTTCTTTACCCCAGCTGGATGAATGTCAGAATTTGCTTATGTTTTACTCTATTCCCTCGGATTCTTGGACTGATGAGGCCAGGTGAATTGTGTGGAAGATGAGGAAGAGAAATGTCCAGTGTCCTGAAAGGACCCTGGGTGCTAGGGGTGCCAGAAGTAGAGAAAGGAGGCTTTTGCAAGAAGGATGAGTTAGTTAAGAAGATTTTTCAGTCATTGTCTCTTCACTTTGCTGTCTTTGCCCTCATTTTCGTGTTCTTGCGTATTGTTTAATCTTTCCTCCTTCTCTTCTCCATGCCCCTTCCACAAACCATTTGTGGCCCTTCTCTTCCTTTCCTCCTTGACCCCATTGCCCAGCTACATTGTGACCGGCTAGAAAGAGCCGAGTGGCACACGAGACTCTTCTCCAGGACTGAGCGGTCAACCTTGATGCTCAAGAAGCAAGCGCTGAATCAGTCTACCTGATGGAACATGCATCTCAAATGAAGCATGGATAGAATCTGTTCTCAGAGTTATCTTTTACAGTAGCCACCCTGCTTTATTTGTAGAAGTTGCCTCGTTACAGGTAGAACAGGTTTGTGAAGCTACACCCAGATTTATTAAGCTGAGCTGATGCTCAGTGCTAGTCACTCCCTTTAATTTATATGGAAGTCCTTCTCTGGTATTTTGTGCCTCCATTTGGGTCCTTGTGAACGTCAAGGGGAAATCAACCCTTTACATTGAAGGGAAATTTGGTTAGCCAGAGCAGCATTGTCAGAAGCAGGAAGCTTGGCCTTTGAAGCTCAGATCTAGGGCATCAGAGCTGATGGGCAGGGCACAGGGCTCAAGTCCATGTAGCCACTGTGATAGTGCAGTCCTCAGCTTCAAGGGAAGAGGGATGACCCAGACTGATCTGCACAGAGATCTAGTGGGGCAGGCGCTCTCTGGCCCCTTTGACTTTAGGGACCATGGGCACTACTAGGGTGCTTGAGAGGGGAAACTCTCATCCCGTGTTCAGATGGACCGACTGCAGTTTCATGACAGACTTGTTAAACTTGACCCATCCTGGATGAGGATCGTCACCTCACATCAGACCTCTGGTCTGGTCTTGGGATAAGTACCCAGTGGATCTATGCTGACTGCTACCCTGGGGTCAGATTTGTGATGTCCCCAAGTAGAGTTGTGCCATTAAGGATGAAGAGGCTCTTACTAGGAAGGCTGATCTTGAGTGAGGTTTCTGGTTTGGGTGGTTCTTTTTTTCATTCCAAATCAGCTCAGTCATCTCTTGGGCTCCTTCCAGCTTTAACTCCATGATCCTGGGACGGTTTCAGTTTTAGACACTGGTGGCTCTGCTACTTACTGAGCTATGAAGGGGAAAGCATTGGGCCGTACGCTGGGAGTGTTTGAAGGCACGAAAGACATGGCCCTGTCCTCAGGGAACTTAAAGTCTTAGTAGAGAAGATAGGGCAGAGGTGGTCTGTAAGGGGCAGTTTCTTCTCTCTTCTAGGTTTGCAGACAGGTTGGGATAGTTGAGACTTTGTTCCCCAAGTAAACGTGATCAGTCAGTCATTGGTCTTGATTTGTTGGTGTTTAAAGGAAGCATGTTTTTATATGGCAGCCAGTTTGTGCGATGTGCCAGAAGAGAGCAGCTCCAATCTTCAACCCTGCCTGAAAGGCCAGTGGGGACTGCCACTGGGAGCCATCAGGGTTTGGGCGTACATCCCGAGGACAGTGGCTGGCTGGCTGGCTCTTTTGGTGTGCTTTTGTTTTTGTTTTCCAATTAAAAACTGTAAAGAGCCACTTAGAATGTAGTGTGAGAGATTTGGGGTAGATAGGGACGGGTCAGACTAGGGGAGCAACGGGAGGGATTCCCATTTTTATAGGAGTGGTTTAAGTGTGGTCCTTTAAGGTGGGCCAAGGGAGATAAGTGACTTCCTTTAGCCCTGGTAACAAGTTGGAGCCCCCAGGGCAAATTCGTAGCAATTTATAGTGGAATTTGAATCCAGGAACTACAAAGTAAAAATTCTCTGAACTGTTGGGCTTATTTTAAAATTCTGGCGTTGTCTTTTGCCACCTTTAAAAGTCGGAATAACTTGGGTGGTAATAAACCTGCCGGGTCTCCATTTAGCAGGATGGGTCAGGTTGTCTTAGCTTGAAGAAGAAGCACGTGAGATCTCACGTCTCCTCTCATGGAACCATGGAGCCATGGTTGGTTGTGTCAGTCAAGTTTGTTGGGAGGAGACAGCGGCTAGCTTCCTGCCATTGATCTTCTGCCCAGTTAAGTCCTGACTGGTCACTTGGGTGGAAATCTAGGCTTGCCCCCACCTTCCGCCCACCCAAGAATGATGTTTGTCTTCCAAAAGAGTATCAGTCATCCTGGTCTCAGCGCTGACTCTTCTCAATTGGAAAATGGCAATGATTCATCATAATGGCCAGACTAGGAGAGGTGGTCAGTGGCAGTAGCATGTAACCCAGTAACATGGTATCTTCGCCCCTTGTGTGTCAGCTAGTGTTATTGAGAGAATATAGCATTAGTGGAATTGGACAGGTCTGGGTGGGTTAGTAACTCTTGTTTGGCTCATACACATGTTCTTAAGAAACCTTAATTTGATTTGGAATGGGTGTTTTCCAGGGAAATTTGGCAGACATTCTACCCTTAATGGGGCAGGAGCAAAGTCTGGGGCAGAAAGCCAGGAAATTAGCTTTGAAGATACAGCTTTGGAATGGAATAGGGTAGTGCTTTGGTGTTTCAGGGGCCACCTTCGCCTCCATTCATAGATTCAGCAGCTGCTGGATGTCTTCCATATTGGAGGCACTGTGCTGGTGTGTGTGGAGGGTGAGGACAGACATGGAGAAGGCAGGCCTGCCCTTGAGAAGCTCACCGTCCTTAATCACAGCTCTGCTTCTTTGACAGCCATGTTCTCCAAAAGCCGTTTGGGACAAGTTATACCTTGGAAGCGATAACTTTGTTCTTAAGTAGCTTGGAATTGCTGGTTGTGTCCATGGAGCTAAGACAGCAAGACGTTAAAGACCTGGCCTAAGCCCAGCTGGGTTAGCAGAACTTTGGGGAGGGATGACCTTCTTCCTTCTCCGGGTTAGATGGTGCTCTGGGGTGACCACTCCTCACTGTGGGGGAGGGGTGCTTCTGCCACCTGCTTCACTGCGTTCAGGACAATATTTTTTTATTGTTTCCCTTTATGAAAGTAGAGGTAGTTCCTGCCAAACTCCACAGAGCTGGGACTCAGTGTTCCTTAAATCTGAAGAGAAGCAAACTCGCCCCTGCTGGCCTTCATTGGCTCCTCCTGCGTTGTGTCAGTCCACCAACATTTCTTAACGCCTCTCATGTGCCAGACGCTGCGCTGAGCTACATCATGGAGAGCAGGGGGAGGGCCAGACTGACCACCCGGAACAAATTGGGGGATGACCTGATTTCTCTGTGGAAGGTGCTGTTGAGATGAGAAGGATGTGGTTCTTTCGGGTCCCTCCAGGCCAGAGAGCTGGCTGCGCTGGGCTCTGAGTGTCTGGAAGGGGGGTGTTGGGTCCCTGGGACTGTTCTCTCTTTGTTAAAAGCTCGTTTTTTTGTCTCTGGCTTGTCAGGGCCTGGGAGGAGTTTCACGGCCTGGTGAACAGCAGCGGCCGCTGATCGGACGCTTCCCCTCTCTGTCTCTCACACCCAGGGTAGGGCCACATCTATCTTCTCTGTGACTTGGTGACATACCTCTCCCTGCTGGGCTTCTCTCTAACGAGGGACGCCCCCTTCCCACGTGTTACTTTCTTGCCCTGCTGTCTCAGGTCTCCTCAGTTGATTATTTTTTTTGCTCATTAACAAAAACCACTGAGAAACACACTCTGGATGTTGTTACTTGTTCTGTTGGGATCATTTTTTGACCCTATGCATTTTGACAGCATCCCGTGGTTTAAAGGGCAGTACCCCACTTCTTCCCGTGGGGCAGGTGAGAGGTACGTCTCCTGTTTGCTTGTGTTGTGTAGGTATTGTCTTGTAGCCAGAACAGTCACATCTGGGGTGTGAAAATACAATTTCCTGGTGTTTCCATGTTAGGGATTGGGGAAGTTGATTTGGGGCAGTGAGCTAGAGCTCTGAGTCAGCTATAATGGAGAAAACTCCCTCAAGAGAGGGACCAGCCTGGGGAAGAGCCGACAAGAATCCCCTTGGAGGGTTTTAGTATTTGGTTGCCAAGACCAGACCTCCTGTGTGTGTAAGAGGGGGCCTTGAGTAATTATTCTGAGTCATTCCAGTGGTGCAGAGAATGGCCCAGGCCTGAAGTAGGACTTGAGCCTTCTGTCCCCTGGGCAGTCAGTATAGAGAGTGGGCTCTGATCAGAGTGGAGCTGTAGCAGCTGGTCTGTGATTGCGGGTACCCGGCAGGGAGGCCAGCCAGCGGCCACCATGGTAGCCTCCTTCTCGCCCGGGGGCCAAGAACATGTCGTCATTTTGCCTGTCACACACCTTGTCCCCGAGATGATTAGTGTATGTCCTGAGGAAGCGAGCGTCCCAGCCCGGGAGGGGGAGCTGGGCAGCCTGAGCCTTTTGTTGGCCCAAGTGGCTTTGGTCCCAGACAGGAAAAGCTATTCCTTCTGCCTTCTTTAAGTGCCCTTAAAGCCTGCTTCCTCATATCCTCATGGATGCTTCATGGTATGAGTGTTAATTGCTGGGCACCTTAGCTTTTAGGTTGCTCAGTGCCCTCTCCTTACTTGACCCCTGAATGGTTATTGCTCCACAAACCAGTGAGCTGGGAGAACTGCTTTTTACAAGAAGTCCTCCTTGATTTCCCTTTCCCTGCTGTAGAAGTCAGTGTCTAAGCTCTGCATCTGTGTAATTTGCAGTTTGGAGATCCCTCTTTTAGCATATTCACTTTTGGCCTCAGCGCAGATGCTGTGCCTTGAGCCGTGGCTCCAGCAGCACCCCCCAGCTTGAGTAGAGAGGGCTCAGATGACTCATCCTGGGATGACACACCTGTGGCAGGAATCCTTCCTTGGTTAGGAACACTTGGCAGCTGTCAAGTGGGAACTTGCTGGGGTGGAAATCAGAGCCGGGAGGACTGTTGCTTCCCTGTCCCTAGGGAGGGTCTGCAGTTTTTTTCAGGAAGAGAGGAAGAAACCAAAGCTGGACTGATGGATGGGAAGCTGATAGCTGGGGAGCATTCCTCTGAAGACGGGGACACACAGGAGGACTACAGTTAGCCAGGATCAGACGGGTGATTCACTGAGCTCTGCCTAGCTTTCAGGGCAGAGGCCTATGGGCTTGGAGTGGAGCTCAGTTCAGATCTCAAAGTGAAATTCCCAGCTATGATCAAGGTCTCTTTGGGAGTAGACAGAGGTATGGTGGTCGAATTTGGCATCCTGGGGCCTTTGGAGCCAATGCTGAGGACTAGAATAGCTCAGAGAAGATATAGTCTCAGGGATTTCTTTGTCTCCAGCTTGTTATATCCACTGGAGTCAGCAACCACAGTCAAGCCCTGTGTTCAGTGTAGACCCTGTACCATTTGGATCCCTGGGAAAGTCTAGAGGGGGTTCTACTGTGGGAGGCAGCCCCAGGCTCAAGAAAGCCTAGGAAGCCTCATCCTGGGCTGGTAGGCAGCCCCCATTTTCCCCAAGGGATCTTGGATGGAGATGATAGGAACCGAAGTGAACACATCTTTAACACCTTGTTTTATCTCCTGTATCCTCACAGTCCACTCTGTGAGCTAAGTGGCTCCATTGTTACCCCCATTTTACAGATAAGAAAATGGAGGCTTAGAAAAGTTAAGTGATTTGCCCAAGGTCACATGGATAGTAAGTAGTGAAGCTAGAATTGGAACCCAGATCTCCTTGCCTCCACATGCAGTGCTTACTAGGTACTCCCTCATACTGGTGGGGCATGGTCAGCAGGGCAGAAGGGAATCCAGCCCTTTCCTCCATCCTCTGAATCCCATAAACACGCACAGCACATCTGTGTGTCTGCAGCGTGGTGCCCAAGCCTCTGTCTCTGGACAGCAGCGCTCCAGTTTGTAGGTAGAAAGACAGAGCAGTGGGAACGTGAGGCAGAGACCTTGGCAGATGCCAGATTGGGTTGGGAGCTGCTCCTTTGCCTACTGCTTCATGGAAGGCCCAGCTCTGTCCAGTCTGCCTCTGTCGTCCAGCCGTTGTCATCCACGCGTCTCACTCCCCTCCATTCGTTCATTCGCTCACTCGTTCATTTGTTCAATCATTTATTAAAAGCCTTCTGTGTGCAAAGCCCTATGTCGGGATCCAGAGACAAAAATGAGTCCCTGCCCCTAAGGAGCTGCTATTCTACTGGGGGATACAATACGAAAAAAGAGAATGATGTGAAGAGGAAGAGAGTGCCCCCAGCTTTGGAGACTGGCAAGGGAAGGGGCAGACAGTAGCCTGGGAGAGCATATGGCCTGCCAGATTTCCTTCTTTGCCGGGAGCTCTTGCACTGCAGTAATTAGAACATGGCCCTCCTGAACGTTGAAGGTCTTTGGTTATGATTTCATGTAAACATTATAGATGCAAATTTTGATTGGCTTATGAGAAATAAAATATGCTTTTGTTTAGAAAAATCTCAGAGGAGCCAGTGAAACAAATGCCTGCTCTTCGGGAAACAGAAAATAGCTTTTCTAAAAATTACCAAAACATGAAATTGACGCTTTTTTTTTCATTTTTTTCTCTTAAATATAATTAGGCACATGCTTTCTGGCTTTTCTTTTTCCTGCTTAGGTAAAGACTTGTTAAGTTTAATTGGCATTTTACTCTCTTCCTTCCCACACTTTCTTCATGGCCCAGCATGATCTTGGCCTTAATTTTTTTTTTTTTTGTATCTGCCGGCCTCATTCCACAGATGGCATGCTTTGTGATTATAAATAGACATCTTGGAATGGTGGCTATTTAGTTTCTTTAAAAGTTTCTCTGTGGCAAAATGTTGTGTAACGTCTTTGTACTTTATGTGTTAGAGAACTGAGGTCTTCAGTTTTCAGTCTGTCTGCTGAATACTTCACCAACTTTCCCCAGGCAGACTAACTGCTTATCTGTGTAACGGATACTGGAACTCCATCTCCCACAGCCCTGGAGATAACCACACATTCTAAAAGGAACTGGGCCTGGCACATCCTTTTCTGTCTTCTTCCCATCTACCTGTTTTGATAGAAAAATGATTTTTTTTCCCATACCCTCAGAAACTACACCCCTACTCTAACCCTTCCCATGTCCTCTCCTTTCTTTTCACCTTTCCTCCTTTTACATACTGATCCATATCAGCAGTTGGACTCTTGGGTTAGAGGTGGCAACCAGTGAAGATGTGGAGCAGAGCAAGTTACTATGCTTTAAGTAAGTCCTAGCAGCAGCAGCATCTTTGATGGTGTTCTAGGTATTTTTACTCTCTTAATTTTCCTACCTCATGTACAGTTCCAAAGTGTATCTGCGCTGGTGTTATAAGCACAGGCATTGCCCACCAAATAACCGTCATTATGGGTTCCTGGACAGCATAGCAGTAGTTGAAACAACATTAGAAGGGGAAGTTAGCCCCCCATACAACGGTGGGCAGACAGATAGCTGAGTCACATGATGGCAGGGTGTGCTTATCACGTGTTGCTGATGCTTATTGCAGAACAACCTTAGGCAGAACAGCTTGGTGTGGGAAGTGCCTGAGCTCCAAACCCTCTGCCAACAGAAACACACCCAGAAAGACTGTGGGTCAGTTACTAGACCCTTATCTCTGGTCCACCTGTCTCTGTCTCTGCTTCTGTGATCAGATCTGGTCCTCTCCATTTCTTACCAGCTCCTCTTGGCATTTTCAGACACCTTTGTGTTCAGGAAGAAAAATCCATGAGAAGGCAAGCCTGTCTGCTCCCAAAAAGGCAACTTAGAGGAGATACTTGGAAATTGAACGGGGAGGATTTATTTCTAATGTTAGGACCAGTCCAGCTAAGTTTCCAGAGCAGAGGGGCCAGACTCACTTCCTCTAGTATTCCTCTTCTTCAGAAGCAGCTGGGAGTTGTTGAACTGAGTTCTTTGGTGTGAAAAGGGGGGATGCTGGTCCCTGTATCTCTGGGTTAGTTTAGTAGGGAGGTCCTAAACAAGGGCCAGGGGTGGGTCATTAAGGGCCCCAAAGCTGATGGTCACAGCTCCCCCCCCCCCCAACTCTGTGTATGGATGTATGTTAGATGACCTATGTATTAAATCCTCCATTCTCTCCCACTTTCTCTTTCAGGGACAATTCAAGTTTTCGAAATACAAAAATCACATTGTGAAAGTACCCAAGCTGGCAATAATCCTTTTCTGTATGTGTGTGTCTGTCTGTCTGAAACGGATGGGAGGCCTCCAGCAGCTCCCTCCGTCTGCTCACTGAAGGGACATCCCCGATCCATGGGCTCCCCTTTTGCACTCATCCCTGGAGGAAGGATTCCACTAGACGCCCTCCGGCATCGCTGACTTTATAAAGCAGAAAGACAGAAAAGATGACTTTGTAATAGACAGACTTTTTTAAAAATGGGGTTCTGGGGAGAGGTGAGCCTTTGGTTTGCTTGTGTGCCGTTGTCCACATGCCTTCTGGGCCTCTCTCGCTCTCTTGTCACACTTCACAAGGGGTATTGTGAACACACGTATGTGCCAGAGCTGTTGACAGCGAGTTTATCAGTATTATGAATGTCTGTGCATCTGGGAAGAATTTCTGTTGGAGAGTCACCATGCTTATCTGTAAGTGCTCCTTTCTGGCGCTGCCTTTAAATTATTGGGACATTTTGGTTTTTTCTCCCCCATTCTCCCTCGTCCTCACCTTTGTCCTCTAAACGTGTCAATGATATGTTGGTGACTGTGCAGGGTTCCATATGGCCTCCTGCCAGCCTGTGGTCCTCCCTTGTTCGTCCCAAGGACGCTTCCTTTCTTCCTCAGCACGGCTGCGTACAGCGCAGCCTCTGACATGGTGTCTGCTCCCATTTTGCAGAGGTGCAGGGCCCCTCTACTCGGGAGCCAGGCCCCATCTTGAGCTCTGGTTTTCGGGCTTCCCTGGGGGCAGGGCATAAGACCCCGAGAGAGAGGCCTGTGTCTGATGGCTGGCTGGCCCCTCGTTGAGCAGGAAGGTGAGAGAGAGGACTTTGGGAGGCCAGATCTGGCTGCATCTTAAGATGTGCCGTGGGAGGATCCCAGACATCGGAGGTGACACGTTGGCGTTGTTGATGACTGTCTCGCGTTTCCTGCCTGTTTGCAGCTGGCCAGGAGAGCTCCTTCCCGGCAGTCCTCTGTGCTTGGTGCCCACTCTGGTAAAATATCTGCTGGTCCACACGATGCCCAGATGAAACCCTTGAGAGCTTCAGTCATCAGGCATTAAGATGGACCAGATCCTTGGTCTGAGAAGTTTGAGTGACCTCTCAACTCCAGAAGGACTGAATTAGGAAAAGTAGAATGAGTTCCCAAGGCCCAAATAAGCACTCGGCCTAGGACCCTGCAGCAGCCTTCCGTTACACTGATCCACTTAGCTCTTGGGAGCCAAGATTAGCAGTGCCTTAAAACGAGGGCCTCTCTTTAAAGCATCCTCTAAGCCTGGGTTGGCTGGGGCAAGGTAGGGACCCTTAACCAGTTGGGCTTAGAGGAAACCTAGGAGAGTGACAGGCATTTCCCCATTGGGCTTAGGATCGTTTCTTCCTCTCCAGCACCCCAGTCACCACTGGTTTGGGGATACTTTCCTTTTATTGTTTAAATCATCCTAAAGGTTTTCATTAGGACAAATGGAAAAACAAATGAACTAGAGATTGTGTGTGTGTATGTGTGTGTGTGTGTGTGTGTGTGTGTGTGTGCACGCGCATGCGCACACATGTATGTGGTGCATTTCCGTTCTTGGCAAAATCAGGTGTGCCTAAGGAAATTTAGGAATGATTCACATTTGAGAGGTGGGGAGCACAGATCCTAGCACTGAGCCAGATGTGCATGACAGGCGAAGCCGGGAACGTATTGACTTCAGAGAGCACAAGGAGAGCTTCCCACTGACCCTTGTGCCCCCTCCATGGGAAATAGCTTTGCTCTTGCCTGGGCACAGTTAGATTTGCCATGGAAATGCCAATAAGGGCGAATCTGGGGAGATCTGCTCTCTTTGGGGCGTTCCCCTGTGTGTGTGTTGGGTGTGTGTTCGTGTGTGTGAAGGTATCCATGAAGTTGGATCTTTTCAGGCCACGTATTTGTGGTTTTTTGTCCATGTTCCTTTTAACTCACCTGCTGTTCAGATTCTTGAACCACTGATATTTTCCAGAGCTGCTCATGTTTTTCCCCCTTCCTTCTCCCCACTTGCAGTGTTTAAGATTTCTCCTAGCTAATATATATATATATACATACACACACATATCTATGTATGTGTGTATATATACACACATATATGTGTGTGTGTGTGTATATATACACATGCATACACACGGACAACAGTATTGACTAGAACAATTCATTACCCCCTTTAGGTAACAGTTAACTCCCAGTGGTTCTTTGTCCTGGCAGTCCAGTACCTTTTCTCGGAGAGCTGTGCTCTTGTCTCCATCCGACCCCTGTTGTTGCAGACAGAGCGCTGAAGTATCTCTTTACTGGAGCCAGCTTCTGTGCAGCAGGACATGGCACGGTTACCATGTGCCAGGGCCAGCCTCGTGAACAGGGACTGATTTCAGCCTCCCTCCCTCCCCTTCCCGTCTTTCCTGCTGTGGATGGACGAGCTGTCCACACTTGGCACAACTGTTCCTCCGTTGTCCCTCTTGTGTTTTCTTTTTGGGGCACCCTTTCTCCCTCCCACTTTTTTTGTCCTTCAGGTTTTTGGGGTGTATTATTCCTGTGAAACCAGAAACCGCCATCGTTTCTTACCCAGAGTCGAGCATATGGTTCATGTTGTTCCCAGAAAGGGCTTGCTGGCTGTTACTAGTGAGAATTAGGAGAGGCCACGGTAAGAGTGAGTGTCGCACCTTCAGAACATTTGTCTGCTGCAATAATAAATGGAAAAATGGGCAAGAACCAGGTTGTGGACTCTTTAATGTGGGTGGGGAACTTGGGGGGCTGCCCTGTCCCTTTAGGGTAGTACAGCCTTGAGCAAACTGATCCAAAATCTGGTGTGAACTCTTCCTAATAGCTGGGTTTACTATTTGGTGACTTCACCAGTTAGCATCAACTCTGCAGGAACTAGTCCCTGCCCAAAGACCCAGCATGGGTGCAATGATAGGGAGCCCCTGGTTTTCTTCTGGTGTAATCCTGGCTCACTCTGGAACGCTTGACGTGTGCCAAAGGTGGTGTTGATTCTGATCACGCTGATGGGCAGTGATGGATCTCTCACAGGAAGTTAGTCATTCCCCAGACTGAGAAGGAAGGAAATGGAGAGTGTGTTCTATTGAAGCAAGGGCATGAAGGCTAGGGCCAGAGAGGAATAGGAACATGACATCAGAGCAGAGAGAGGGGAAAGCAGAGAAGAGCAGTGCTTTGGAGTCATTTCCAGTCTAGACTCGAACAGTCAGGTGATGCCCTGGGCAGGAGTCTGTGATGTGCCCACTGCTGAGTCTTGGTTAGGCTCCGTAGAAACACGTTTTCTTGTTCTGAGTGTGGTCTGCAGAAAGGACGAGGAAGAGAAGCAATGCTCCCCACACTGAAGTGAGCTGCTTTTCAGGGTCCCATTTTCTTAGGTTTACAATGGTCCCACGTCTTCCCTATGCTTGGATTTTTATTGTACCCATCAGCCTGGAATCCATGACTCCCTGGCAATATATCTTCCTGTGTGATGCAAAACCTACCAGGCAGAGTTCCATCTGCCCTCCCCCAGAAAGACTTTCCTGGTAGAGGGAGTCGGTAATAGCTCCCATTGCTTTGATCTATTCCTCATCTGTAGCACTGCATGGTTTACAACAGGTACTCCTTACAAGGACTGTGACGGTGTTAGTACTAGTAACCCCCTTTTGTAGATGAAATAGCCAGTGCAAGAGCCCTGAGACACCACTGAAGGCCACCCAGATGACATGGACAGTCAGTATTTGAACTCAGGTCCTCTGACTCCAAATCTGGGGCTCTTTCCTGTGAAGTGGCTTGTCCAAGATCACAACTGTTAAGTACCCAGAACTTCAACCCAGCTTCAAAGAAAAGATCTCTTAGAACAGTGTTGTCAGATGTGCAGCCCCCACACTCCTGAGTGGGCCTGAACCAGATTAAAATGTGATTGGGAAATACTTAACAACATAAATAAAAAGATCATGCTGACATGTTTTCTAAGTCAGTGTGTGCCTTCAGGGATCTTTACATGTGGTTCAGTGGCCCACATTTCTGTTTGCTTTTGACAGCACTGCCTGAAAACTTGTAGGAAAAGAAAATGCCATTGCCCAAAATGGATCAAGAATTTATCGAAGCAGAAATCTCCTGTTTTCTTATCCATTGGATTTTGGAAGACAAAGAGCTAAGAGAGCAAATAGGAGAGGCGTTTGAAGGACCGTTTCCACTTGGCACTGTGGAAAGAGCTCTGCTTCTGGTGTGTCCCGTGTGACTCTGGGCAAGTCAGTGCATTCCAGTTCTAAATCCATCTCCGATTCAAAGGCCCCAGGACCCAGTTGGGTGTGTGTTATGTAATAAGAGTTAACAGCTGGAAAATTAGCAGCCATCCATTTAATAAAGCAAGCAGCCATCAGCTTTGGGGGCAGGAAAGGACCGTCCTACAAGTCCTCATCACCTCAGCGTGCTGAATGGCTAACCCCGCGTTGGCGCCTCAAGGCAGTGAGTTTTCTGTGGTGACATGCGGTTTCCCAGTCGGCCCAAATCACAGAGTGAGAATTTAGGAACTCCAGTGGCCATCTAGTCCAAAGCATTTCCTAAAAGGGATTTCCTCGCCATCCCAGTGGACGAGTCACCAGCCTCTTCTTGGAGGGGAACCCATCATTTCCCCTGCCAGCTCATGCCACTCTTGGTTGGCTCTCATTGGTAGGAAATCTTTCAAACCCAAATTGGCCTCTTTGCAACTTTCTCCCCTCCATGCCCCTTGTTCTTACCCAGTAGAACAAGGCAAATCCCTCTTCTAACTAAGTTCCATGTTAATTGTAAAGCAGTCACGGTAGAAATTACCCTGTGTCCCAAAATGTGCAGCCCAGTTCTATCCCTTGCCTGTACCTCATCCAAGTCCTAGATGTTTGAACGCAGCTGTCCTGCCTCCGCAGTGTTTTCTCCAGGCTAGATGCCCTCGTGGCATGGACCCATCCTTCCCCGTCCTGGTTGCCTTCCTCTGCACGTTCTCCATCTTATCCAATAACCTTACAGAATGACACTCGGACATAAACAGAGCTCCAGGTGTGGTCTGGCCAGGGCAGTGTCACCTCCTTGTTCCTGGAGGCCATGCCTCACTGTAGCCCCACCTCACATGAATGTTATAACTGAGTGACGTTGAACTTGCAGTCCGCCTAGGCTCCCAGACAGTTACCCCCTGAACTGCTGTCTAATCCTGCCTCCATCCTGTTCTACTTGTGAAGTTGATTTTTTGAGCCCAGTGTCAGATTTAACATTTATCTCTATTGCATTTCATCCTATTAAGGTCATTGATTTAGTTGGAAAGTACCTTTGAGGTCAGGGTGGACAGCCAACTCCCTTGTTTTTCAAATGAGGAAGCAAACAGAGAGAAGCAGGACAAAGGTAACATCTATGTATCCCTTTATCCAAGTTACTGTCAAAAAATGCGAAGTAGCCCAAACACCCCAAGACCCTTCACTGAAGGTCAGACAGAGACAGATGGTAGCAGAAGCAATATTTGAACTCGCGTTCTCTGCCTTCACATCCTAGGCCAGTTCTCTTGACCCCTCCAGGATAATTCTTCAGGTCAGGTCATTCAGCCAGTTCTGAATCTGTATAATTCAGTTATCCTCTAGTCCACATCTCTTCCCCTTTTCCATAAGAATAGCATGAGGCACTTGATCAAATGCGTTACTAAAACCTGGTTAGTCTGATGTGATCTGTTCTTGATGAAGCCTTGTTGGCGCTTTGTAATCACTACTTTTTTGCTAGATGCTCACTATCTATTTTTTAAATCAGCTGTTCTAGAATTTCCCCAAGAATTGATGTCCAGCTCGGTGACCTATAGTTTGTGGCCTCTGTTCCCTTCCCTCTTTCTATACATCTGCAGTCCTATTGTATCTCTCCTGTTCTCCACAGCAGCTACATCTGCCAGTTCTTTTAGTAGCTAAGGATGTAATTCATCTGAGCTAGGTGACTTGAATTCACCAAGGATAGTGATGCCTTTATATTAACAAGAGGCTGCATCATGCATTGATTGCAAAGAACATTGTCTCAGGAATCAAAGGTCCTAGGTTCAAATGCTGCCTCCGAGGATTACCATTTCTGTGGCCTTGGGTAATTCACTCACCATTCCTGCGACTCAGTTTCTGTGTCTGTAAAATGTGGGAACTGAACTAGGTGGCATCTGAGGGCCCTTTCAGCACCAGATCTATGATTTCCTTTCTTACTTTGGGTATCAGCTCCCAGTTCACCTTTTTTGTTGTTGTTGTTGTTGTTCTTTTCTTTGGCAGAGAAAACAAGCAAAATAGGAAATCATTCAGCTAATAAAAACATTTATTAGGTGATTACTGTGTGCCAGGTTCATGCGAGTTCTTGCCTTCAAGGAGCTTACAGTTTACTGGGGAGACAACACATACACATAGGTTTATACAAAATACAAGGTAATTTCTAGGGGAAGGTGCTCTGTGCTGGGCCGATCAAGAATGACTTCCTGTAGGATGTAACAGCTGAGTTGAGCTGTGAAGGAAATTAGGGGTTCTGAAAGGTAAAGATGAGTAGAAGAGCATCCCCATCATGAAGAGCTGCCCGTGAAGAGTTGTGGGAACAGGGGCAAGTAAGGAGACGAGCATGGGTGGTCCATCCAGCATTAACACGTAAGAAACACGTAGCGTGTATTAAACATGCAGTGAAGTTGGAGAGGAAGGTTGGAGCCACGTTGTCAAGGGTTAGGATGGTGAAGCGGCATGGCCGTGCTTTGGCAGCTGTGTGGAGGTCTCGGCAACATCATGGGTATTCCATTAGACAGTTGTATCCAAACAATACAGAAAGCACGTTGTCTTCTCTCATCTGGCCTCTGAGTCTGGTCATCGCGCACTGGACATCATGGCAGAACTTTGGTAGTTAAATGTCTTTCTTCTCTGTTGATCCCGTTGTTGGAAATGCAAACTTCAAAGCTCTATGAATCAATGGAAATTATATTCCACAGTGTAGGAAAAGGCATGTCGGGGGGGTAGGCTTTGACTTCTGGTCCTGTCACCAAGAAAGGAGCTTTGTCCACAGGGATCCTGAGTGCCCACTCGTTCTCATTGTAAGGACTGGCTGAGGTAGGAGGAATGTTGTTACTTCCATGAGTGATCACCTCCATAGCTGTGGTGAATGCTATTCTGGGTTGTTTGGCTGAGAGTTGGCGAGATTCCCACGTGGCTCGCTGCTGCTGCCTGTTGGAGGGCAGGTGCTGCCTCTCCTGCAAGATTCAAGGGGTGTGTGGTGACTTCCCGAGAGCCATGCTCTGTGGACATCCCTGCCATCCATCCCTTCTGACTTCCCTGCCCTACTGTGGCAGGGAGAAGGCAAACCACAGAAATCTGGCTGGTCCAGGCCATTGAGTTATTTTTTTATTTTTTTCTCACCTCTCTTTTTATCAATTTATTTTGATTTATCAGCAATCACTTCCATATGCTTTTGAGTTTAAAATTTTTCTCCCTCTTCCTCCCCACCACCCTCCCCAAGACAGCGTACAATCTGATATAGGCTATACATTTACATTCCTATTAAACATTTTCACATTAGTGAAGTTGTAAGTAAAAATTAAAACCAATAGGAGGAACCATTAGAAAGAGGAAACAACTCAACAGAAGAGAAAAAAAAAAGATAGCAATTCAACTTTCATAGTTCTTTCTTTGGATGTGGATAGCATTTTGCATCATGAGGCCTCTGGAGATGTCTTAGATCCTTGTATTGCTGGAAAGGGCTAAGTTTAT